AAATTGTATCAGGCTCGACGAAACATCGGCAGCCTCACGCTCCTCCCGAAAAAAAAAATCTTAGGGTTCCTTCATCTCCCACCAGTATCATCGTCGGTCGCCTCGTCTCCGGTGGCCTGAGGGCCATGGGGGCACGGTGGATCTCTGGCTTGGTTGGGGTAAGGCTCCATTTTTAGATGTTTCTTCGTTTTGTTAAGGTTTGTGTCCTATTTAGAAAGACGAGATGGTGGCGCCTCCCTGAAGATGGAATAAAGTTCTCCCAGCCTAGCCTCTTCCCGGTTGCGCGCTTAGCATCATCGGTGGGCGTATGGATGTGTGCCGGATCTTTCTTTGATGGATTTGATATCTGATTAATGTGGATAGGACATATGTGGTGAGTATACACATACGCGTCTAGTAAAGGATTGTGAGTACAATCTTCGTGGACACCTAGGTCTCTTTCTACCTCGACGACAATCAAGCACCGATAAGGCTGGTCATAGTGGGGAGTAACTTAGACTAGTGTCATCCATATGACACAAGTCTAAGTTACTATCTTCGTAGTGCAAAGTAACATACTAGTAGTGTCATTGATGGCTTCATTTATTAGCTCATAGACTCATTTAGTCTCGGGAAGCGCTATGTTACAATAACATATTATGTTACCACAAACACCTCTTTCCTCATTAAATACTTGCCACATAAGCAAAATTGTCTTGGGAAGTATTAAGAGGGTGCTTGGATATGTTTTAGTCCCATGACTAAAAGTAGTGGGACTAAAACTTGTTAGCCTCACCCATGCTTGGATCCAAATACTAAAGAGACTAAAATCAAGTTATTGAGCATTTATTATCCTTCAAACCCTCCAATCCAGAACTCGCATGTGTTAAAGGAGAGGAATTAAATGAGGAGAGAGAGGGCTAATACATATTTTAATAGGTTTCCTATGACTAAAAATTTTTAGCTTCAAGACTAGTCCTAGCCTCTCTTTAGTCAGGGGTGCTTGAAACTTTAGCCTCTAAAAGAGACTATTTTTAATCAGACTAAAAATAGTCTCTTGAATCCAAACACCCTCTAAGTTACTAGTACCTAAGTTACCCCCACTATGACTAGCCTAACATGTATAACCTACTCTCCAACTTTGCAGGTAGCCAGTACAGAGGAAGGTTAGTATATAGCACTAGATCAAGCACTGACAGTAGTTGGTTGCATTGATCCGGCTAATTAAGTTAAGCAACAACTCCAAGATGATTACACGTGCTCACTCTGATCATGGCGTCGTTGACCAAACAGGCGACAAAACCATCTGCATTCGATAAGAAGGGGAAAAAAACCCCAGCTCGCATGAGGCACGAGGTGTATGATAAGGGCACGACTAGCTAAGAACCGATCCGTTGAAATGGGGCTATTTGTGCACCCACTGCTTCCCTTGTTTTTGGACCGCCCGGTAGAAAATCGAGGGATAATATTTTTTTTTTGAACGAAAGGGGGTCGCCCCCCTGCCCCATTTTATTGAAGCAGAGCACGAAACAGTTCACAGATTACATGATCAGAAACGACGATCATCCAGAGCATCAAGCTCAAAGTAAAGCGCATACAGCTAGAAAGACTACGAACCAAGTCCAGGACGCAAGCTACGGAAGTTTTAGACTGAGTTAATTAGAAGGGAACCAACACAAAACAGGACATCAAAAGAAGATCAGCTGCCGCTCTTTTCCCTTCGATGCCCCTGATCATTCAGTTGGTCGCCCCAAGTCTCATCTCCAGGCGATCCGGAGGAGTTCCCCACGTCGCTTGTCCAGCAGCAAGATGCATCGTTGTAGTAGGTCTGCTTGCCCATCGTCGCAGAGAACCTTTCACTGGTGCAAATAACAGCTTAGTTTTGCAAGAATGCAATTCACATTCCTTCACTTGCGCCCCTGAAAACAGAATTCATTTCTTAGTCTCCACAAGCTCCATAACGCAGCAGATGTTACCAGATTCAGAACAGCTTTAACTTTATGCATATGCCAGAAGGCCACAACTTTATCAAAACAAGACATGTTATCAATTTTGAAGATTTCCGCAACAAAGCCCCAAACATGTTGGGCCACCACACAATCAAACATCAGATGTTGAACAGTTTCAGGTTCAGAACAGAACAGGCAGGAAGGATCATCCACTTCCCTTCTTTTTGCAAGATTATCTCTAGTCAGTTTTTTGTTGTGAATACAAAGCCACAAGAAAATATGAATGTTTTGTGGACAGAGAATCTTCCACATTTTTGTACTAACATTAGAAACCACACCCCCAAAGTTGATCTGTTTGTAAAAAGATTTAACTGAAAAGGCCCCATTAGTTTCTAATCCCCAAATGGGGGTGTCCAGATCATCTAGTAGAGGGTAATGTTTAATCAAACAGACAAGCTGGTTCCATAGAATCATCCCAGATCTGTCAAGACATCTCCTAAATGTTAATTTCAACTCATTACCATCCCACACTTGAGCTACAGTACAATCCACTTGATTGCAGATATTGAACAAGTCCCAAAATTGCACTTTAAGGGAACAATCCCCCACCCACACATCATGCCAAAAACTAATGAGTTTACCATCACCAAGCTTCCACCTATAGAAAGTTTTTGCAGCAGCCAGAGATCAAGTAATGCTCTTCCAAAAGGTAGAGCCCCCTTCACTTTTAGCCCAGAGGAGATTTGGAGAATTAACTCTATATTTGTAGAGAAGAAGTTTAGCCCAATCAGAGTCAGGGTTGGTAAAAAATCTTTTACCCCAAGAAGCTAACAAAGCCATATTATACTCTTTGATATTGGGAACCCCTAAACCTCCAAATTCCTTCTTCCTGGTAATCAAACCCCAGTTAGCCAAGTGGTATTTATGTTGATCACCCACATCCCCCCAAAAGAAGTGATCCATTTGTGAGTTAATGGCATTAATAGCCCACTTAGGGAATTTGATCACAGACATTAGGTAGGAAGGAATGCTAATAATGCAAGCACAAAGCAGTATAATGTTTCCTTTGTAAGTAAGATATCTCCCCAGCCAGCCAGAAATCCCTTTAATGATCCTGTCAATGACAGGTTGGAGATCTTCTTTTTTCAACTTGTCATAGTGCAGAGGCACTCCCAAATACTTAATAGGAAAAGAACCTTTTTTACAGCAGAAGATTTGAGCAAATTCACTAGCAATTGTGTCAGCTATATTTATAGTCATAAGATCACTTTTGTGGAAGTTAATTTTCATACCAGATAGGTTTTCAAATCATGACAGAAGCCACTTAAAATTTCTAGCTTTCTGAGTGGATTTTTCCAGGAAGAGTATGGTGTCATCTGCATATTGCAGACTAACCACACCTCCTGGGATAACATGGGGCAAAAGCCCAGAAATCAAATTTTGAGAAGCAGCTTTCTTGGGCATCTTTGTAAAAACATCAGCAACAAGATTAAACAGCAGAGGGGGGTGTGGATCCCCCTGTTTGAGTCCTTTCCCACCTACCAAGTATGGGCCAGTAGTGTCATTAATCCTCACACTGAATGTGCTATTGATAAGCGTGCTCTTAATTCAAGCAATCCATTTGGGGCCGAACCCTCTCGAATGGAGCATATCAAACAGGAATTCCCAGCTAACCCTATCATACGCCTTCTCGTAATCCAATTTTAGGACCAGACCTTGCGAGCCTGATTTTTTAATCTTATGGATTACTTCATGGGCCATAACCACGCTCTCTAAGATATACCTCCCTTTAATAAAGGCAGTTTGGTTAGAGGAGATCAACCTACGTCCCACAAGGGAGACCCGATTCGTCATAGCTTTAGAGAAGATTTTTATACCACAGTTACTCAGACTAATAGGACGAAACTTCTTCATCTCCCTGGCATCTGGTTCTTTAGGAATAAGAACAATCAGAGCAAAATTTAAACGTTGTAAATCTAATTTCCCTTCCTCAAATTCTCTGACCAGGGCCATAAAATCTTTTTTGATAATATCCCAAAACGACTGGTAGAATAAAAAGGATAGCCCATCAGGGCCAGGAGCCCCATGGGCGTATGAGCCAAATATTGCCTCCTTAATTTCCTCCTTGGAATTTTTTTTTTGTAAATGGTCATTTTCTTCCTGTGTAACTAATTCATCCTCCTCCCAAAAGGAAGGACCAAGACATATATTATGTTTGTTCTCATAGCAGAACAGGTTTTTGTAATAGGAGGTAGCAACCTCCAACATTTCCGGGATCGAGGGATAATATTTGCCTGGATGATGAGTTACTAGCGCATTTTCTAAAAATAATAAGCATTTCTTCACAATAAATACACAGCCATACTACTAGTCTAGAGCATTTGAGGTAAGACCCGGAAATTCGCAAGGGCACGCACGGGTAGGGCACGCACCTGCCAAGCCCTGGCTGGCTGCTGATTTCCTCGCGTTTTGAAGTAGTTGATTTCTGCATAAGGGCACAATAAGTTTTAAGTT